CATAAATATTTATGTATATACATATAAATACTCCCCAGTATAATTTATTTACTTAGATAATAATTTCTGCTATCAAATTGCTTTCCAACGCTTGCCAATTTGCTCGTCTACATCTTTATGTGAAATATCAATATACGTACATATGTATGTATCAATGCAAATATACATACATACATACATACGTATGTATATATGTATGTATTCATTTTGCCTCCCCAGCGCACTTTCGGCGTACCAAAGCGCGTAACGTAGCTACTTAATATCCTATTTTCACCTGATTTCACATGAATTTCAAGGCGAGTATCATTTGAATGCCTCGAGCCTCGAAGCGCATTACATTTCTATGCATACATTGATTTAAATTATGTAAATTCACAGCGCAAAAGCTCTACAGCAGTGCCAGCAGCAGACAAGCAAACTCACACCAGGCCTTCGATGCATACAATTTACATACATACAACGTATATGTATGTACATCTTATCAATACAATATCTTAGTATTTGTAATACCTTACGCCAGCTGTAACTGATAGGCAAATCTCACTGGCTTTACTCTTTTTATCGCGCGAATTTTTGATTCCCCTGCTCAATTCACTTTACTTTGATGTACAATACAAATGTAAATAATACTTTGTTATATGCTGAAAGCCTGCTCGTACTCACACATACATACATATTTAACTATACTTTTACAAATACACACATTTCCCTTATATTTTTCTATAACTCTGACTCCTGGCAACTTCTCATTCACCAAGTCCTTGCTGTGGCTGCCGGCATGAACGCTTTCTCCTTCTGTATTTCCGTCTGTGTCACTCACTAACTTTCTCATACACTCACCCACTGCATTCCCTACGGTGCTTTTTATTAATTCTGTTATAATTCTCTTTGCACTCTGTGAAAATAACCGAGTGGTACTATGTACTCACTTCACTTGATCTCTGTATTTTATGAAAATTATGCAAAATATTATTGGAATAATTGATGGTGCATAGATAAGATGCATAAATGAGTGAGCGGGTGGAAGAGTGTTGAAATTTGTTTGTGTAGAAAGTGTGTTTGGTGCTGTAATACTTTTGAAATCAATTTTGAGTAAGTAGTCTCCAGTGACCAAAATGCTATAGAGAGTAGGCAAATATTCCTAGAGGCAACCAACACACTGACTAAGTAGACTCAAGGAAATTTAATTTTGATATTTAAAATTTCGCAGAAATAGAAAAAAATGCATCAGAAATAAAAACTTCAAATCTCTTTTGTGAAAAATATTTTCAATTCAAAATTGTGGCTGATAACTGGAGAAAACGTTTAATATTATCTACATTTTTTGTTTCGTGCTATCTTATATCAAGAGGTTTTATTTCTTTTGATTTTACCAGGTTTTTTTTCATTCCTTTTTGTAATATAAGATAATAATATTTTGCCTTACTTTAATTCATTAAAAACCATTTTAGTTGCATTAATTTATTTAAGTTAGTTTTAATTTATTTTACTTTATTTAATTTTTACTTATAAATTTTTATTCTTGTGTTATTTTGTATTATTATGTTATTTATATTTATTTTTTAATTTTATTTTAGTTATTATTTAATTTTATTCTATTAATTTTATTTAGTTATATTTTTTTAAATCATTATCTTTTTTATTACAATTTACGTTTTTCTATTTTATATAATGTCATTTATTTATTTTATTTTAAATTGTTTAATTTTATTTATTTTTTTTTGCATTTTATTATAATTTTTATTTTTTTTAATTTTATTTTATTTTATTTTATTTTATTTTATTTTATTTTATTTTATTTTATTTTATTTTATTTTATTTTATTTTATTTTATTTTAATTTATTTTATTTTATTTAATTTTATTTTATTTTGTTTTGTTTTGTTTTATTTAATTTAATTTAATTTTATTTTATTTAATTTTATTTTGCTTTATCTTATATCAATTTTATTATTTAATTTTCATTAATTATATTTTACTATATTTTATTTTAGTTTATTTTGTTTTATTTTATTTCAATTTTATTTTATATTAGTTACTTATTTGATTTTAGTAATTTTATTACATTCAAAAAAAGTTTTCCCACTTTAAGGTTTCACAAATGCTTTACAGCCGCTCTAATCAATGTTCCTATAAATATTGAAAAGTTTTAATACAAATAAGTGACATTTTGGAACTTGAGTCACGTCAAGTCTTAGAAATAGTGACCCAAATAAACTGTTTTTCTTATCGCCAATAGGACACTCGAAAATGAGATAGGAAAAGTTGCACCTGTCAGCCGTAAGAAAAGGGCTAATAAATCAGAAACTCTTTAAGAAAAAGCAGGTGTCATTAACACAAATGAAATAATTAACTCATCGCCACAAAATTGGATTGAAGACCCAACCACAACAAAAAAGAAAATGTTACGTTTATTCAACCTCCACATTTGACCTCCTTTTAATCGCTCATTTACTACAAAAACACACATGGAACAAAAGCCTTTGTGCGGTGTGAAAATGTATGTATTTCAGTTAAACCGCCTCCTAGTCCTTCCAGGAAAACAGAGAAAAAACTATAAATGCAAAATGCCATAAAAATTATGGTCTATTACTACTAAATTTTGATTTAAGTTTCTTTATAAATATATACGAGCAAACAAAATACGCATATTTGTACACTCACACTCGTAAATATCTAAGTATGTATGTACGTTCTTGTATTAAATATACACGCGCTTATGAACTTTTATGAATATCAGTTTGTGTGTATGTCGCGTGTGTGTGTGTATGTGAGTGTAAATTTTTATATCTCTTCACAAGCCGCCAACCAAGTCCTGTCAAACAAGAAAATTTATTATTATTGTATATTTTGTTGTGTATTTAATGTTTTAACATATAAACATTAACACAAAACCTTGACGCAAACAGAAAAAGGTAATAAACTGGGAAATATTCAAAGTCAAGGAAGAAATAAATAAGCGTAAGAAAATATACATATATATGTATATATAAATACACTTGTACACGCGTGCGTTTGTATTTTTTAGTATTTTTCATGCACTTTTATTGATATTTGTTTGTCGGGTTTTTTTGCTGCTTCTTCTTCTTTCCGGTTTTTTTCTTTTTTTTTTTGTTTCTTGGGCACAAAACACTTGTTGTAAAAGCAAATAAAGCGACGGGATAAATGTAAAGCATAAAACGGAAAGCGGTGCATAAAAAGACTTTTGTATATTATATAGAAAGATGGAGCACCAGTAAAAGGAGGGGCAAGAAGAGGAAGCACACTTCAAGTGTATACTGAAGTACCATATTAGGATAATTCTTAGTTTACTGAGCAAACTTTGAATAAAGATGCATACATATGTATTTATGTGTTGTTGCATATTTGCTACGAATATTAAAATTAAAAGTAATAAAAATATTATGTGTGCGAAGGAAAGAGATGGTTTCGAATTTGCTGTATAAACGCTGACTTTGTTTGCGAGTGGAAGGGCGCCTTTTATTAGGCAACCTCTGACGAATTTGGAGTTGGGAATAATTAGTGTCTACCTTCGAGTTCCTCTCATGGGATTAAGGAGTAAACTGAGCTATGCTTGTTAGCTTGTTGTAAATTTTTCTTATAGCTTTCTTCCTTTTTCGTAGTTTTGAACAGCATGATTTCCATAAATTAGAAAAATTAAATCAATTCATTTTCATAAATAATAAAATGAAAAATAAAATGAAAAAAATAAAATGAAATAAAATAAAATGAAATAAAATAAAATAATATAAAATAATATGAAATAAAATATCATAAAATTAAATAAAATAAAATAAAATAAAATGAAATAAAATAAAATAAAATAAAATAAAATAAAATAAAATAAAATAAAATAAAATAAAATAAAATAAAATAAAATAAAATAAAACAAATTAAAATATAATAAAATAAGATAAAATAAAATAAAATTAAAAAAAAAATTTTACATAAATTAAAATGGAATAAAATAAAATAAATAAATTGGAAAAGAAATAAAAATAAAAAAATAAGTTGAAAAAAAAATTAAATTAAATTGAATTAAATTAAACTTTATTAAAATAAATTAAATAATGTGAATAGAAAAGTAACTTAGTTTTGTAATAAAAGACACTAGATCTCAAGTTTATTTTAGCTTTCCGTTTCAATTGATTCTAATCTATTTGCTACTAATAAATCATACACAAATTATCTTAAAACTACTACCATGCGCAAAAATCGCTACGGAAATATGATATGGTAAAAGAAATACTAACAGTAAACTGTTACACACACCCACATGCGCACACATTATATCCAGAGCTATTATATGTTGTGATAACCCTGCGGTCGCAAAGTAGCATAGAGTGTTCTTCTAAATATATACATATGTATGCACATGCCAAAGAAAATAGAATAAAACAACAAATATCTGGAATGTGTTGAAATTACCAACTTATAATGGTTAATGCACACAAAAGAAACCAAAGAGGAAGAAAACATTACGAATTTGAGAACTAAATAGATAATAATAAAAACGGCACACTCAGGCGAACAAATAAACATGCAAACACACACATATGCGAGCATACGTAGGCACACTTGTAACCTGAGCGCTTACAAGGAGCCGTTTTTATCTTAAAGGCGATATACATACATACATACACTTACATACATACACATGCATACGTGTATATGTATATAAAAATAATCATATACGTAGATTTAGAAGTCGAATGTCATGGTATGCACTTGCTGTTGTTGTTGTTGTAATTGTTTAAGGAAATTTTATGTTTATTTTTATGTATGTAAAATGTTCATATATATAACGTGTAGCTGTGCGCTGCCTCAAATAATGATTGTTCAAATCTCATAAGGATAATAATGATTGATATTTGACAGCTAAGGATTTTGGTTGCTTTGCTTTTGTACATTTCAAGTATCAGTTCACATTGTTAATTCAAGTTTTTTTTTGGTTTTCTCTTCTTCTTCTAATAATAATCTTTGTTCTCTTCTTACTTGCAGTAACCAATAACGAGTACGAGTGTTTGGAAAATTGGATTCATTTGCTGGCGCACAGTGTGTGGTAAGTAAATACAAAATAAATATATACACACATACATACATATGCATTTAAGCGTGCATACATTTCGAATAGAGCAATATAAATTTGTTAACACATTAATAGTTTCGTATTGTAAGTAATCTATAACATGAGTATAAAGTCATTATCGGATTTTCACTTGAGAATATTTTTTTTTTTTAGTTATTTATTTATTTATTTGGAAAGCAAATTGCCCAGGGTCTCAGTTGGTTACATTTACATTTATGTGTGTGCAGAGCATGTGTTTGTTATTTTTTGTTTTTTTTTTTGTTTTTGAAAGGATCTGACAGCTGAAAAATTTATGTGATGAATGAGTGTCCACGAAATTCGATAGCTGGATTTTGAGATCACTTGTTTTTCTTTTAATTTATGTTACTATTATTTCTTTTTTTCTTTTTTGAGAAACATATATAGCAGAAACTATTTATACTCACAAAGAACTTCAATGCTCCTCGTAAGTTAAACCAAAGTTAGGCTCCGAAATGAGCTAGTTAAGCTAGTCAAGCCGCTATAAGCTGCTTCAATCTGTCTCCACCGTATGCAGAATCTTTAAAAAAGTGTAAAAATTCAGGAGAGGTATTTCATGATCTCAAATAATAACCTTATTGTGTGGCAAGAATTAAGAAAAAAAATTTCTAAAAATTAAAAAATGTCATGAGTTCTAGTTGAAGAAAATCTTGGTGTAAAAATAAAGTTTTATTATTTTCCAAATAGTTTTCAAATAACGATTGGATTCTTTACGATGAATTCAAATTATGATTCTTTTTTTGCACTATCGTATGGTTCCTGCCTTTACAATGGAACTTACTTTGGCCTGCAAAATGTTGTAGTTAAGAATTAATTAAGATTATAGTCTACTTACAGCTTTGCAAAAAAACTTGGCTTTCTTTACTCTATTGAGTTGATTTAACTAACAAGTAGTTTCTCTTCAAAAAACCAACCTAATATTTTTTATGTTTGCTTTTATATCTGAATTTAAAGAATTTATATTTTTTCAATTATTTAAAGGAATATATTATGCAAAACCATAAACAAATTTTTAGCGAAAACGATAATTTTATTAAATATCTAATTTTTTGCAGTAAGTAGTTGAGCAGCCTAAATGTAGGCAACATTTTTGAAAATTGTGTGAAACCATACCTTAAACGTTGCCTATAATTAGGCTCATTTTTGTTTATATAAAAAATTTTGCGCATTTATCAAACAGATTTCTTATAAGTTCCTCGTAACATCATAATTGTAATTAATAGTTCTATGCAGAAAAATGGTAATCTATGAAATTTCTAAAACAGTTTAAGCGTACCGAAAATTCCCACGCAAAGTCGTGATTAGCTTAATGTGCAATAGGCTTATATTTCTCTAATTCATTATACCTTCTCTCCATTCAACTCTGTGCTTAAATTAAAGCAGTTTAAAAATTTTAGTTTTTTTAAAAGGCTTAAAGCACATCAATGCTTTGGCTTAGTAGAAAAAAATGCATACTTGACACTTTCAACACTAATTAGTTGGAAGTTCGCAGATGTAATATTTTTTAAAAACTAATCACTAATACACTGATAAGTAAAGCTATTAATAATTTAAATATTCATGACAATTATTCAGATAATTCAAAATTAATAACTATAAGCAAATAATTTTTTTTTGCTTATTTGGTTTTTTTTACACATGAGACAAACTCAGCTCGCGCATAATACTGCAAATTATACCATAAAAATACAATAAAAACTCTTTTTTTTTTGTTTTTGCAAACCATAAATAGCGTATTAAAATCTAATTATAACAAAGCGGCATATATTCAATAAATATTTATTAATACAGTAGCTATAATACATCAATAGTATGGTCAATAAATAAAATATTTATTTAGGAATTAAATTTGCGAAAAAAAAAGTACAAAACACTGTTAAAAGTATTAATGAATTATTAGTAGAAAATAAGTAAATATTAGATAGCTTTTTAACGAAATGTGCATAATAAAAATAAATTTGATTTAATGAATGAATATTTTGAATTAAAAAAAAAAAATAAAAATTAATTTGTAAATAATTAAAAAAAAATTTTACGTAGGTGTAGGTGTGTAAGTGCCTACATAAATTCGTGCTTGCAAACATAAATTTCAATATTTGCATTGATGTTCAAACACGACACTTGATTACAGCTAAAATAAATAATGGAAAAATAATCATAAAAATATACATACACATACACACATATGTATACACACGCTTGCAATATAAACGCCAGTGCAAAATAAATGGCGCAGCAATAAAATGCAAATTAATTAAACGAAACAATAACAAAAAATTAATTTAGCAAATTTGTGCAAAAACACACACACTCATGTACACCTACTAAAATAATATGAACACTCATACATACATACAAATACGCCATATTATTACAAGCACAACACGTGACCCCAAAAAGCCGTGGCAGAGGTAACCAATTTGCATAATATTTGCATTAAGAAATTGTATTTAATTTATGCCAAAAAATATATGTTGGTGGGTAGTTAGAGAGCGTGTTGCCGTGTAGGTGTATCGAATGAAATTTATTTTAAGTGTAATAAAAAATTAATCGAAATATAAATAAATATTTAACAAATAAAGTGCGTGGACACAATCCACAGAATTGTGCTGCTCATGAATAAATTATTATTTTTTTTGCGCGCTGGTGATACTTTTATGTTGTTGGTGTTGATAAAATACAATGCTTTGATTCATTATAACTTTCAAATGAAACAGTTGTTAATTGCATCGAATTGATGTGTATGTGATTTATTTATTTATGTTTTGTTAACAATTTTGTGCTTTACTTCCACGAAAGGCGTTAAATTGAGAAGAATGAAAATAAATAAATTTAAAATTTAATTACGATACTAAATAATCGTTTTAGTGAAAAAGTATTTTCTAATAAAATTTGTTATAATTATTTTTTATATAATTTTTCATTTATAAATAATGCCACTTGATTAACTACACCAAAACGTTGCCTACATTTAGGCTTGAATAACTAGATTAATACAATACTTTTTCCTAAAGCTTAATAGTATAGAATAATATTTTAAAGACAGTTACATAAAAGAAAAAATATCAGAGAATGCGCTTAGAACTATTTTCTAAGTTTAATTTTGCACATATTTTCAAACCCTCTTAGGTTATGAAACAAAGCGCTGACAGTAATGCAAAATGTGGTATATAACATAGGTTTTTTTTTGTGTTTTTTGTGCTTCCTTAAACGACATTCACTTTATTCCTAAATATTTTTTCTCTGTAGACCACTAAGATCTGATATTTTCCTAGCTTTTCATGAATGCATGGAAACCTGATTGCAAACGAAATAGCTTTTATTCTTTATTAAATTCATTCAGCTAAGTATTTGACATTCTAAGCGTAGGCAGCATGTTTCTAAATATCTATAAAAATTAATAAAACATTGCCTACATTTGGGCTGATTCACTTCTAACATGAACACTAGAAGTGTTTGTTAAAAGTATTTTTTACATGCTTGAAATGTTGCATAAAAAGTTAAAATTTTTTTAACTTATTATAGAAAAATATAAGTCATAAGTATATAATTGGCGAGCTGTAACCACTGAAGCGATTTTCATTACCACAAAACGGCGGAAGAGCTCGGCCTAAATTTTAGAAAAGTAATCAAGATAAAAATGCGCTTTACAGCGAAAAAAACTAAGTCAAGCAAGCTTAAATCATTTATTCCCATGAAATTCTTATTCTTTAAATATAGAATTCTAAAGCTTTCTCCATAGGTGGTTCTAATATTTAGTTATTGAAAGCAATTAATATTTATTGTTTATTTTAATTTAATTTGCAAGAAGAAATATATATTTTTTTGATTTTTTTGTAATTTTTCCAAAAAGCTTTATTTGTCACTGCAGTATTTGTTCATCTTAAATGTAGGCAATATTTTTTCCATATCACTTCAGACCGAGCATAAACCATTGCCTACATTCGGGCTTTATTAGTATTAATACGAACTTTCAAAGAGTTTAATAAAAGTAATTTCTATATACTTTAAATATGACATAAAATGTATAAATCCGTGTAGAAATTTATTTAAACAAATAGTCTTTGTAACAACTGCTTTTGCAAAAAACAAAATTAATTAATTAATTATAAACGCTGTTGAAAGAGTGACGGCTAATGCGCCAGCTGTGGCAAAAATCGATAAATGAGGCTAGGAAAATCAAATTTTCAAATATAGCTGGTCACTTGCTACCATCTCAAAACAAATATGCATACCTATTTTCGCTCTGAGCAGCACTGGCAGTGCCTTAAATTGCTGAAAACGCTGATAATGACCACAAAGATGATGTTGCTGATGATGGCCATAACACTTTAATATCTTACTGAATTCTTCAATAATGTAACTATTTGTAGAGCATACAAAAGTTTAATTGAAAATAATATGCCAGCTGTGGTTATGGCCACGCCAGCTGCGAGCCAACACGCTTCCTCTAACACCACAACCAACTCCAGCACCACCCAGCAATGCCGTCTCTAACTCTAGAATTAATAAAGTGAAAGCTAAGTGCGCTAAATGAGTGAAAATTAAATTCTATGGAAGCTTTGTTTGAAAGTTTATTTCGTTCTTCTTCTTCCTCTTCTACTCCGTTTTCCTGAAATTTACCACAATTATTAGCACGACGAAGAGGAAGAAGAGGAAGGAAACGCAGCCGTTGAAGTTGTAATAAATGCAAGCGAAATGTTTAGTCGAGAAATAGAACAACTTCATACAGACAGTTAAAAGAAATTAAAAGCCTTAAATTGCGGTAAGAAAATTTGAATAAATTTTTCAACTCAAATACGCTTAAACAATTTAATTCTATATAAATGCGTTTTTTTCAGGCGCTCACAAGAAGTTGAAAGCACAAAATTATGCTTTAGCTAATTTTTTTTTTTTTTTTTTTTTGTAATTTATTTGCCTGCGCATACTTTCCAACAGCGCTATCGACATGCGGC